TCCCTTAGTGAGATCCCAAACACAGTATAAAAGGACATACTGATCAATTAGCTCATCTTCCCTTCCCATCCCCTACTCTAATAGTGTGTTTAGGAGATGACTTAGGGAAGAGAAAGGAAGGGGAAAAGTTCCCCTTCCTTTCCTTCCCCTTCATTATACCCCAATTTGGGGTATAAGATTTTGGCTCAGATCCCCCCTATTCCTCTCCTCTACCATCCTAATGACCCGTTTGGATGGAGGGTAGAGAGACGGAAGGGAAGAGAAATTTTATTTTAACATTGTTTGGGAGTTTTATTTTAGAGGGTAGAGGAGGGGAATGGAGGAAAAATTTGGCTCAGATTCTTACACCCAAATTGGGGTGTAATGGAAGGGAAGGGTATGAAGGAGAAAATTTCCCCTTCCTTCCCCTTCATTCCCTTCCCTAAGGGCTTGTTTGGATTTAGGAGAATAAGGAAGAAGGAAATTTATGGGAATCATTCACCTTGTTTAGGAACATTTAGGAGGTGAAGTTATTCACCCTAGTTCTCATTGGTTCACCCCTTAATAGTATAAAATTTGTTACCCCCCAAATTAGGGTGTAACCAAGGGGAAGAGAACTCCCTTCCCTTCCCTTCTCTCCTCTCACCTAGTTTCCCAACTTCCCTTAACCCCATTGAAATCCAAACACACCCTAAGTAAACTCCCAAACACACTATAAATGAAACTCCCAAACAATGTTAAAATTAGATCCCCCCTCCTACCCTTCATCCAAACAGGCAATAAACAAACACGTATTGTAATGTATTCTCCATCCCCTAGCTGCCTATACAAACACAAATGAATATGTTCCATCATTTTCTTTCTCACTCTCTCCCCTTAAGTTCTCAGTTAATCACTCCCTCCCTAAGGCTGAGCACGGTTCGGTTCGGGTCGGTTTTTACCAAATTTTGAACAACCGAACCGAACCACATATAATTCAAAATCGAACCGAACCATTGCAAGTCGGTTCGGTACGGTTCGGTTCGGTTTGTTCCGTTCTAACTTTATTTTCAGAATGACTTAAACTTGTCAAATGCTAAATCAAATAGAATATATCGTGACGGGTAAGAGATCTCATGAATATTAAATAGTAGTATTTCAGGGGTTGCCGACTTAATTTGGTAAAACAATAGGGGAAAAAAGGAACAAAATCATCATCCATGAAAACATATATACTAGAAAACAAATTAAGGATCGTTATCAAAGCACAAACTCAGAAATCATAAGAGAATAGGAGTGCATAAATGAACAAGAAATAGATAGGCCGATATCTCAACTTACTAGCTGCTGTATCCAAGGAAATAAATCAAAATTAAAGAATAATCGCAGTCAGAAGCTTGAAGAAGAGCAAAAGATAAAGTTTATACCTCGGCCTCGGCGACGGGTGCGGGTGTCCCCCCCCAAAGCCGAAGACAGATCCTGAGCCTGAGGAGATGTTTCGGCCTCGTCCATGAAGACTACGGAAGTGAGGAAGAGGAAGAGAAAGTGAGAGAGGTGGACCGTGGAACTGAGGAGTGAGAGAGAGTGAGAGAGAGGAACTGAGGAGGCGGCTGGGAAAGGAGGAAGGGAAGTTTAGGTGTTTAGGGTTTGAGAGTCTGAGACTTTGTCTTTGGGGACGGGTCGGGTTTGAGCAGAATGAGTATTTAGACCATAGAGTATTCGGTCGGTTCGGGTTAAAATGTTTTCAACCCGATCAGAACCGTCCCACTCTTAAAACCGATTTTTTCGGGTCGGTTCGGATCGGTTCGGTCGGTTTTTTTCGGTTTAGACCGAACCGTGCTCAGCCCTACTCCTCCCCTCCCATCCTTTCCATCCTTTGTAATCCAAACCGACCATCCTTTGTTTTCGTCGATTTTAATCGGTTCAAAATTGGCGACCATAGCCGGTTTGGTTCATTCGCTCAAAAGGGTATTTACGACATTTGCTCCCCAAAACCCTAGATTCCCAGCACCGTATAAATTCTCTTTTTTGAAGGCGGGCGCAGGGAACCAAGAGGAGAGAACCTAGCAAAATGCAGATCTTTGTCAAAACCCTAACTGGGAAAACAATCACTCTCGAGGTCGAGAGCAGCGACACCATCGACAATGTCAAAGCCAAGATCCAGGACAAAGAAGGTAACTTCCCTCCTCAAATCCCCAAATCGCCGTCAAAAACCCTAAGCCCTAACTTCTTTCGCAAACCTTGGGAAATTTCTGCAGGCATTCCACCGGATCAGCAGCGTCTGATCTTCGCCGGGAAGCAGCTCGAGGATGGTCGGACTCTTGCTGATTACAACATCCAGAAAGGTTTGGATTCTGTTCTGTGATTTTGGTTGATTTGGGTTTTTTTTGTTTTTCTCGGTTATTTTCTTTATTGTTGATTTGATTTTTTTTAGAGTCGACGCTTCATTTGGTGCTGAGGTTGAGGGGTGGCATCATCGAGCCCTCGTTGATGGCTCTCGCGAGGAAGTACAATCAGGATAAAATGATCTGCAGAAAGTATGATTTCTTATTCATTTCTTGTCAACATGCGACGGATAATAGACCAGTTAGTTGTTACTTGTAGCACATTACAAGATACCAATTAATTTAGGGCTTGTTTGGATTGAGGGGAATGAGGGTGAAGGGAAGTTAGGGGAACCATTCACCTTCATTCATCTTGTTTGGGAACACTTAGGAGGTGAAGTTAATTCACCCTAGTTCCCCTTGGTTCACCCCCTAATAGTATAAAAATTGTTACCCCCAAATTGGGGTGTAACCAAGGGGAAGGGAATTCCCTTCCCTTCCCTTCCCTTCACTCAGTTTCCCTTAACTTCCCTTAACCCCTACAAATCCAAACAGGCCCTTAGTATATGGTAAGGTCACTGTTTGTGTGAACCCACGGTCACTTTCTCATTTGTGAGAAAATGGCAAGTTTAATCAGTTAAGACATATGATAATATGAAGTGATGAACTTCACAATTACGTCCAGACTGGCTCGCCGCCACCATTGACGTTACACCAGACGACAGAACGACTGAAGGAGTTACGAAAATGCAAAATGTGCACCTGAATAACTGTTACATGAGGAAAAATTACGATGCCCTTACTGCATCTGGTTCTGTCTGTGTACTGTTAGGTTGATTTCAGAGTTATGTGGCTAGTAACTGACTTGTAACCATTTATACGACAACAGCATAGAAAGCGATAAACTTTGCACAATTTGAGGGCAACTATACACCATTAGCTAAGCTACAACTTATCCGCATTGCATCTTGTTTGCTTCCACGTCAAGCAGGTTAGAAAAGACAATTCAGGGATACATTGAGGAGAAGAAATTCTTCTTAGAACTAGAAAGGTTAATTTTGATTGGTGATACCGAGACATGTCGGATGATGGTCATGGATTAGAAATTTTGGTCGTAATTTTGGAAATTCAAATAAAAAGGGAAATTAATTGATATAACTTTTTCAGTATGATAGGAAAGCATTGCATGTTAGTGTTTTAGCTAGCTCTAGGAGCAAAGTAATTCTTCAATGGGATTGTGTTGAGCAACGTGCATGTGAGGCGTAAGAAATACATATATCGATAACCTGTTGTACCAATAGGAGGTGGCTCTGTGTAGGATCACCTTTCATAGGAATGATCAATGATCTTCCCATAACAACAGTATGCATGTATCGAATATAAATCTAGGTTGGCGAGTATGTAAAATATATCATATTTTTTGTTGCTCTGAGTTCCGTCATGGTGGGCAGTCTCTTCTTTCGCTTTGACATTATCGATCCCTTGCCATCTTACCTTTCTCACTAACAATCTCTTATTTTCTTCAGCTGAAATATAGAATTTGTTTACAAATCACTTTTGAGATCAAACAGGATGGTGAGCATATATAGATCTAACAAGAGGCTGCAAATGATATTTGAGACCATTGAGGATGACTTTGGTCAAGGAATCACGAAAATATTAATGGAAGCCGTGTTGTAGTTTTGCAAACTTGTTTGTGGAAGCGGTTATTTACTTGTGTTGATGGTGAAAAGATGGTCGTGACTCGTGAGCACACTAGCAACAAGGAGGAAAGTTGTTGATAGAAAACTAGTATTAGTAAGAGAGAGTAAAATTAGTCGGTGATGAATGGCTTGGGTGAGGTTTGTATAAGATCAAGAAGAAGGGAGAATGTGTTTAAGCCAATAGCCAAGGGAAGAAAGGAGAGTGGACTAGGGTTAAGGTTAGGTTTTGTCTCACACTAATGCAGTCACATGCATTTATCTCGATATGTCATCAAATAATCAGAACTCTCTGATCATTGGAAATCTAGTGCAAGAGTATTTAAAGACTTCATGGAGCTACTGCAAATAGGATTACAAGACTTGTAAAGTCTAATTAACTAAATTAATACAAATAGTTGAAATCCACCTTTGCGAAAGATGGCTCCATTAAACCCGAAATTCCATGACTTTTAACCAAATTCAGATTTATTTGAGTGCAGTTTGCATGTAGTTAAGATAAATTCTGAACTTTAGTTTCATTAACGCAATCGAACCTGTCAGTGTATATATGTTGTTTAAATTCCTAGCTGGCAGTGCTAACCAAGGAAAATGAGAATACCTTTTAGTCAAATTTGCTCATCTAGACTGCTTGTATTGAATAATAGGAATAGGAGAAAGAATTTGATATGGTAGTGATGTGCAGGGCATACTCTGGTTATATAACCTTTCCTATGAGAGTGCAGTATGGAGTTGAATTTGTGAACAGTAGAAACTAGTGCATGCATCCTTTTTTGGTATTAATATAAGGATACCACTTCTTAATATATATACCCAATTAAGGTTCAATTTTCCATTGAAGGGAAATGCAAAAACAAAGGAACAAATGTGAACTTTAATTTACTATTTAACATTAACTAAGTCTTCTTTTGGATAAGAGTACGTATAGACNGGTGTTACAGATCAAAGATGATTTTCTCTTTCTTCTTGGATGCTAATTTATTTTCTTTATATTTGTTTAATCATTTGTCTTTTTTACATGAGTTGCTTAGTTAAACATGTTGGTACTATTGAGCGACATGATCTCTTGATTTTTTTTTAAATATATTTCATGCCCAATTCAGCAGTTTCTCTTTTTTTTAGTGCCGATGTTATTAATGATTTATCGATTTATTGCAAGTATTTTCCTCTAGACTGTAAGATTGAGATGGTCTGGGTCCAGACTGTTGTCTTATTCTCACTTTTTTTTTCTTGCGCGTGTGAGGTATAATTGTCTTACACATCTTTGTTAGGTGCTATGCTCGCTTGCATCCAAGAGCTGTTAACTGCCGCAAGAAGAAATGTGGCCACAGCAATCAGGTTCTTTTTTCCCCGTCTTGTTCATTTATCTGATTTCATCAGGTGGATGAGTTTACATATCATCTTTTTTAGTTAGTTTTATGCTCATCAACCTTATTTTCCCCCTTGGTTCTTACATTAAAAATGTTTTACCATCTTTTTTAGTTGTTTTCTTGTTATAACTTCATGTTTCTTTCCTAAGGGCTTGTTTGGATTAAGGGGAATGAGGGTGAAGGGAAGTTAGGGGAACCATTCACCTCCATTCATCTTGTTTGGGAACACTTAGGAGGTGAAGTTAATTCACCCTAGTTCCCCTTGGTTCACCCCCTAATAGTATAAAAATTGTTACCCCCCAAATTGGGGTGTAACCAAGGGGAAGAGAACTCCCTTCCATTCCCTTCACTTCACTCAGTTTCCCTTAACTTTTCTATCAAAAAAGAGAATAAATTAGATTAAATCTGAGTTAAAAGAGTTAGAACACCAGGCCTGAACGGGTGCAGTCGTGATTCACTGCCCTAGAAGATAGAGGACCCGCCTATCGTCCTGACGCAGTCGATCCTCTTCCCCCTAGCGGTAAAAGCCCCCATAAACGGCCGGCCTCCGTACTCGGGCGAGAGCACAGAGCTTCTGCTCAGATGAAAAAGGTTGCCCAAAATAATAATAACACTTAAGTATAATAGCAGAAAATTCGTGAGAATTATCTCTATTATTTTAATTTTCACTCCACTGTTTTCTTTGTTTTCTTTCTTTACCGTGAGATGAGAGGAGAGAGAGTAGGTAGAGAAAGTGAATAATCATTATGAGATGATTGAGAGAGTTTATATAGGAAGAGAAAGAGAACGAATAGTGGAGAGGATTAAGGAGAAATATGGGGTTAGTTGGAGATTTAAGAGGATTAGATTAAGTTAATTTGACTTTTTCAAAAAAAATATCCAACAGTCCCCCCCAAAAGGCAATATTGACTGAAAACACAAAATCAATAAGTAAATCAATAAAACACAAAACAAATATAGGTTGGGCAACCTTTCGTATCGTGAATTCGGAAAAGGTAGCTTCCAGCTTTGGACCTTTTCTTAGTGAGTTCATCGCCACCTGAGGGACATAATGGACTAGGCCTTGAATTAGGCCCCTTGAATCAAGTATTGACGAAAACACACATAATACGCTTTATCTATTGAGCAAAGCGGGTTGAGCGTTAAAGGCCATGCTCACAATAACCGACTCATGAGAGTTTCTAAGGGTTAGCCCAACCCTCCCAACCGCGGCCATCACGGTTCCTCTCAAGTAGGTAAGTCCTCCAAGGGTACTACAGCTGGATATCATACCCTCCGCAATACACGCGTTAGACTTATTAAGAGTAAAACTCAGCCTAACCAGCTGTATCATCAGAGCATCGTCACCATAGAGAAGGGGTAGTAGCACATGCTACATAATGATATATAAATATATCCAGGTCGATGCTCCACATGAGTGTCACTAGTCCAGCTTGTTACTACCACATTGAACCAACATTGGGACTACGTCTCCAAATAGAGGTTGGGTTACCGCTGTCAGTGACCTCATCTATGGGCTTAACCCCATCTCCCTCGATGAATCCAGAACCACACTCCTGGATAATCCCTTAGTCAAAGGGTCAGCAAGATTTTTCTCAGACTTTACAAAGTGCAAGATCACAACTTTGCCTAGCAGGCGTTGTACAGATTTATATCTTATTTGAATATGTCTGTTTAATTTTTTATTCACATGCACTTGTTTTAGAAGCTCTATGGTCGATCTAGAATCAGAATGAATGGAAATTGGAGGAGAAGGTTTAGGGACCAAAGGAAGTTCAGAAAGAAGATCTTTTAACCATTCTGCTTCTGTACAAGTGGTATCAAGAGCAATCAGCTCAGATTCCATGGTGCTCCCGGCAATTACTGTTTGCTTACAGGATTTCCAGGATACAGCAGCACCACCAAAAAGAAAAATATATCCAGATGTGGATTTTACACTGTTAGAATCTGTGACCTAATTAGCGTCACTATACCCTTTAATAGCATCAGGGTATCCAGTGTAAGTCAAGCAATAGTCCACTGTCCCTCAGGTGGCGATGAACTCACTAAGAAAAGGTTCAAAGCCGGAAGCTGCCTTTTCCGAATTCACGATACGAAAGGTTGCCCAACCTATATTTGTTTTGTGTTTTATTGATTTACTTATTGATTTTGTGTTTTCAGTCAATATTGCCTTTTGGGGGGGACTGTTGGATATTTTTTTTGAAAAAGTCAAATTGACTTAATCTAATCCTCTTAAACCTCCAACTAACCCCATATTTCTCCTTAATCCTCTCCACTATCCGTTCTCTTTCTCTTCCTATATAAACTCTCTCAATCATCTCATAATGATTATTCACTTTCTCTACCTACTCTCTCTCCTCTCATCTCACGGTAAAGAAAGAAAACAAAGAAAACAGTGGAGTGAAAATTAAAATAATAGAGAGATAATTCTCACGAGTTTTCTGCTATTATACTTAAGTGTTATTATTATTTTGGGCAACCTTTTTCATCTGAGCAGAAGCTTTGTGCTCTCGCCTGAGTACGTAGGCCGGCCGTTTCCGGGGGCTTTTACCGCTAGGGGGAAGAGGATCGACTTCGTCAGGACGATAGGCGGGTCCTCTATCTTCTAGGGCAGTGAATCACGACTGCACCCGTTCAGGCCTGGGGTCCTCTATCTTCTAGGGCAGTGAATCACGACTGCACCCGTTCAGGCCTGGTGTTCTAACTCTTTTAACTCAGATTTAATCTAATTTATTCTCTTTTTTGATAGCAATCTAGAAGATAGTCAGATAGAGATATTTTATTGCTGTTAATTTAAATCTGAAATTAATTTCTTTTATTTAGTACATTTTTCTCTGTTAATTCTGTGTTAATGTGAGAAAAAATTTATAAAAATTACTGTTCATCAGTTTCGGTTTACTGTTCACCCGAACCTCTCTCTGTTTTGCTTTTGTTCCTTTTATAATTAAAAAAAAAAAATCCAACAAACTTCCCTTCACCCCTTACAAATCCAAACAGGCTCTAAGTTTTTTAAAGGGAAAAATTGATTCACGGGGCGTTTCCATTTTATTGTTTTGCAGCTAAGGCCAAAGAAGAAGATCAAGTAAGCTCTGTTTGGTTCTCCTATTAGTTGGTTGGACTCGATAGGATTCTTGCTATCTAGTTTATTAAATGCTCTGTTCTAAGTTCAGCAGTTGGACCCGTGTCTTCACTTGTTTTATTATATCTCGAGAAGAGAGTTTATTGTGTTTTGTCATGTACGGTGAAGTTTATTTTTTTAAAGTGATTTTGGTTTGGGACAACATGGTTTACTTTCTTTGGTGGCTTCTTCTTTCCAGAAGTTAGCTACTCTTGATATTGGCAACTGATATTTCCCAGAATTTTAGTTACTCGTGATACTAAAAATCATCAGCCAATAATGTTAATGATACCCAGATCTCACTCTGTGTAATGGAGTGGAAGTTGCCCAAATTGATCAAGCTCCCTGTAAATTATGTGCTTGATTATTTGTGGTGCGCGTAAATAGTTATCCTTATAGACCAGTCCAGATTTCATTTTTGATACTTCGCTCTGTGTTGTGTTTAGTTGTGATGCATATCCGGTATGCTCGCTTGATTATTCTTTCATCAATTTGCTTATTAGCTATTTGTGGGCTACCCATTATTCTTCATTATGTGTTTAGGTGATAATAGTATTAAAGCATTCTTGTTTTCATGTTGACTGTATGAGTGTCAGATTCTAACGGAACCATTGTTTACTTTTTATGTTTTATTTTGGGAATGTTTATCCTCCATAACATGTCGTTTTCTCATAAGTTATTCATTTTGTGGGGGGGAAATTAAATTTGTGTTCACCCTTTTCATTCCTGTATTTCTTCGCCACTGAAAGGAAAGGGTTTCTTGAGGGAAACGCTTCGTTGAATGGTCTGAAAGATTTTATATTTCGACCCTTTAATAACTCTAATGTAGATCTTTGGTCACTTGTAATTAAGATCATGCATGAATCACACGTAGTGTGACGAGCGTGCTGGGGTTGTGCCCCCTTTATTGATTGGTTTGGTATGGTACGGAGTTTGAGAAGAGAATATGAGGCGAAGGTGAGGTGCGATGAGGTGAAAGCATGAGCATTCTTTTCGGTCTTTTATGTTTGGTTCGAGAGGATGAGGTGAATGAAAGCATGTACGTTCTTTTTGATCTTTTATGTTTGGTTCGAGAGGATGAGGTGAAAGCATGGACATTCGTTTTGGTCTTTATTATGTTTGGTTGGAGGGAGAGTCTTGAATCTTTTCGTAGTTTGCTCGCGCTCTCTCTCTCTCCCCTCTCGCGTCCTTCCAATTTCGATAGGATTCCCCCCCTCTGGTTTTATAGTTCGTTTTGAGCTTTCTTTCTCCTCACCTCACCGCACCCTCTAAAAGCCCCTTACCAAAAGGAATTCTAGTTTCGTCTCTCGCCTCATCCTACCTTTAGACGGTGGAGTCCTGTGGGGAGCAGTGTTGCTCTATCAATGAAAGTTGACGGTATCACGTTAGTGTGCGAATATTTGCCACTGCGAGCCTCATGATTGGGATCTTTCTTTTTTTATTATTATGCTGCATTATGTTGCATTCTCACCCGTGTATGTAATGTCTCTCTTATCATTGTTAGGTTCCCTAAACTTTGTGGCGCATTGTGGAAATGGGTGCTCTCTCTCTCTCTCTCTCTCTCTCTCTCTCTCTCTCTCTCTCTCTCTCTCATTGATTGAGAGCACTACTGAGACAAGTCTTTTTGTTTGCACTTTCTGTGTAGTGCTCTTTCGTAGTGCTATGTTGATGATGCTGTCACCGTATCATCATTCCTTTTTTTTTTCTACCTCCTTCCTCTCTCTCTCTCTCTCTCTCGTATGGGTTTGGGTTTGGGGGGATTCTCTTAAATACGTGACTCTCTTTCTCTCTCTCTCTCTCTCTGTTTGGGATTGGGGGGATTCTCCTAGATACGTGACTTATGCCTCAACTTTACATGATTAGCAACATTCTGTCTTAACTTTGCATCCTTCAATTATAATTATTATGATAGGGACTTGGGTAGTACAGGATGCCTAAAGTCCCTCATCGAGTAGTTTGGGATGCTTGATAGGGTATTTAAGTGGCTTGGTTCTTCCCCTTAACAGCTAGCTTTTAAAGGTGGGTTCCCCCAAGTTGTTTGGGTGCCTATCAAATGGTATCAGAGCTGGTTGTCGGCGTCACGGAAAGGGCTACCGGCGGAGGGGCTGACTGGAAAGGCCGAGTGAAGCGTCATAGAGTGCAGCCGCCGGGACGTCGGCTCTCAGGGGCGGTGCTATGATAGGGACTTGGGTAGTACGGGATGCCTAAAGTCCCACATCGAGTAGTTTGGGATGTCTGATGGTGTATTTAAGTGGCTTGGTTCTTCCCCCTTAACAACTAGCTTTTAAGAGTGGGCGCCCCAAGTTGCGTGGGTGCCTATCAAATAAGAAGGAAATAATCATGCATAATTAATGAAATGGATAATGTTTAGCTTATCCATCGTGTCATGATAACTGTACATAAGAATTGCACTCTCCTTGTAATATACTACACAGAAATAGTAAAAAAACTTTTCTTGTAAATTTGCAAAGACAAATCGTAAATTTCTGTGGATCCCACTTTATTGTTTGAATACCGCATGCCCACGGATGCTAACCGTTTCCTTCACCAATTATTTTCAATTACACCTTTTCCTTTTCACTTCACAAGATTTGGATCATAAATTCATAATTACGTGACCTTTTTGTTCCCTCCACCAACTTCAAGAAATGGAAATTCCACTTGCAGGCGCGAAGATTGTTTGCTTTTTTTTTATCACGTAATATCTTGGCGTCACGCGTTTTAGAGAGCATTCTCATATCCTACCCTCATCATGAACTACGACGGAAAAAAAAGGAGCATCTTTGACATTTATGGTGTGTTTGGGAGTTTACTAAGGGAAGGAAATGGAAGGTAAACAACGGGAAGGGAAGGGTAGGAAAAAGAATTGTAATATGTTGTTTGGGAGTTGAGTAAAGTGAATGAAGGTGAAAGAAAGTAAATATATGTAAATTTACATAAATGACTTTATACTAATAACACATCAGCTCTTTTATTTGTTTTGATGGGGGTAAGAATGTCATTACACCCATTTACCCTCCTTTACCCTCCTCTACCGCGATGGGGGTAAGAATGTCATTACACCCATTTACCCTCCTTTACCCTCCTCTACCGCCCAAATCGGGGGGAAAATAAAACCAAACAATTTTACCCTCCTTTCCACTTCCTTCCTCCTCTCTACCCTCCTTAAAAAAACTCTCAAACAAGATGAAAGCTACATTTCTCTTCCCCTCCCCCTCTCTACCCTCCATCCAAACAGGACATTATTCTTTGCTAAATGGCCGGAAATATTTATAAAAAAAAGAACCTAAGATCATAAATTCACGCATCTCATAAATTTAAATTAATCCGGTCTTAGTCCCCATTCATCAAAGGCTTCTTCATTTCCCATGCCTTCATCTCTGTGATCTTCACATCTTCTGCTCCATTATTGAACACGAACAAATGTGCTGCGTCCCCTACTGCGATGCTCGGATAAACTCTTGATGTCATGCAAGTTTTGCCTTCAGCACCAAAACTCTCCACCACAGAGTGATCAATCTGTTTATAAAAAATTAAAAATTAATGTCATTATAAACTTTAGATTTTATAAGTTAAAATAAAATAAAGGAAGGGATCGATGGAAGGGAAACAGGAATGTACCAGGCTCCTTAGAGAAATCTTCCCCTTTTTCTTGATCTCTACATCAACCCATCCTCCATAAGTTGGTTTGTATAGTCCAGGCCTTACTGATGACCTGCTCGCCATCAAACAAGTAATTATAGTTTATAGTATTTTACAGTTGATAATCGAGGTAATTAGTTTCTAAGTTTAATACATGTCAACTGAGTAGAATTTGGATAAAAGTGGAGACGGTTGCATTTAAGGCTTTTAGCTAAGGATGTTTAAGTAGCAACTACAGTACAGATGCGAGCGGAAAATTCTGATCCTGCGCGTCGCAAGTGTTCCGATCACCTCTCTTTGGTTGGTTGAACCTCAGTCATTCATTTAATTACTGTTTGATGACTGAGATTACAGCGAACTTCGGTAAGAAGAGATAATAAAGAAAATACCTTGATGGGTCATGGCACATGAGAGTCACGTAGTTGTCTGAAGCTTTGAAAATTCGAAAGAAAACAGCAGTTTGCTCCTCTCTTCTGGCTGAGGCCAAAGTCAACAGCCCAAAAGGTCCGACCCCACCCTTTACATCCGCACCCTTTTGTGCACATAGCTTCTGAGGATCGGTCCACGTGGGATCAAATGGCTCAGCCTTCGCAAGGCTTGACAATTCGAACGTCACCTCCACGTCACTCTGCATCATCATCATGTGATACTATATCAATAATCCTTACTACTTTACTACTTTAATCTAATTGTTATGAGCTCATTACACCCTGGACAACATGATTAGGGAATACACGAATGCAAGCAAGAGTGTTCTGAGCCATACCGTCCGTTCCTCACTTCTGTATGATTTTAAAACACTCGAATTAAATGAATCTTATATTCTGATTGAGGCCCTCACCTGCGCGGTCATTATTCCTGAAACTTCGACAAAGTCTCCGCCCTTAACTTTCTTGTTCATCATGTAAACTTGCTTCCCTCTTATTGACTCGAGCTCCTCCACCGGCCACTGAAGGAGTTGCCGGCCGTTGCTGTCAAGCCAAACTTTTCTAGGTATAGTCTACAAAACAAATCAAAATTATAAAAGAGAGATCAAATTAGCAACGGAAAATTTTGTTTACGTGAGAAGTTAAAACTCAACCGCGTCAACTAAGCTAACCTGGATCCCAGCCCAACCCTTGCTTACATCGTCTCGTGTACTATCGGACTCGTTAGACCAACCCCACAAAATCCTCCTCTTTTTCCCTTGATCGTAAAACGTCTTCGACGCGTAAAAATTACCGTAATCATACCTTAAACCCGACCTGTTATCTGCCGATGCGCCATCTGGTATGTATTTATCTACATTACGATTATACGTTCCAAGCGTATAATACTCGTATCGCGTAATATCCAAACTATTTTTCAGCACGTATTTTAGTCCACTACCGTATTCTGACGTATCTACTCCTAATTCTCCCCCCATCGCTACCGGGTAGAAATCCGGACACTCCCACATGCCCGTTCCGTTAGCGGAGTGTAACGGGTGCTTCGCGCGGACCCAATGTACAAAATCCTTACTTCTATACAAAATAGCCATGCCTCTGTGTTTCCTTTTGCTCCCAATTACTATCCTCCAGCGCCCATCAAGGCCGTACCACGCCGTTGTCGGGTCTCTGAACGAGCTAGCATTGAGCCCGTTAGTCGGCTCTATTATCGGGTTGTAATCGGGTTTGACCCATTCTCGGAGATAAGGATCTGACAAGTTCTTCGGGTACGCAACGTTTTGGACTTGACGGTTTTGGGGGTCGATGCCCGTGTAGAGGATAGCGGGTTTGTTACCCGGTAAGATAGTAGCGGATCCGGACCAGCACCCATTAATGTCGAACGGTTTGGATGGGTAGATTGCAGGTTCGAGTGGGATCCAATTGATCAAGTCCTTTGAGACTGAGTGAGCCCATACTATGTTGCCCCATACCGCGCCTTTGGGGTTGTACTGATAAAATAAGTGGTAGACTCCGTTGTAATACATCGGACCTACATTTGATTAGAAGTTAAAAAAAGTTCAGATTAGTCAATTTATTTGGTTTATTAAATGGATTATGATTTAAGCGAAATAGTGCTCAGAAATCAATAATCATACCATTAGGATCTGGTTGGCGTACGTAGTCAACGAACGGATCAAGCCAAGCACATGGCACACAACAAATAGTACAGTTAGCACTGAAATTTTGACAATCAATTATTATATAAAGTCAAATGCAAATAATAAAAATTAATTAGCACAAACCCTTTAAAAAGCTGCACTATGATATAACCACCAACCATAGATTTGTATTATATTAGTTACCAGTTGTCTATAGAGTGCCTATTCGGCATTCTATAAGGGAGGAGAGAGATAGAGAGAAATGAATGAGGAGGGATCCCCATGCAAATTAGTGACCCCCCCCTCCCTCATTCATTTCTCTCTATCTCTCTCCTCTCTTATAGAGTGCCCATGAGCACTCTATAGAAAAACCGTATTAGTTATTGGTAGATGAGATTGACTCTCCTGTTATGTAGTTATTGAAAAGTATCCAATTATTCGAGATGATATATTCAAAATGAATCATAACCATTTTAAAAAGTAGATGACATGTTACGATTAGAAGTTTTATTCATTTAATAATTTTTTTTAATTCAGGAAAAATCTAAAGCAACTAAATATATATATTTATAGAGCTGCTCTCAGAAATTATTCGCAGTTTTTGGCTAATAGTCAACCCTACTAAAGGTTGTCAGAGTGCGTATTGAGCTTTCTATAGTCCTTTTTCATTTTTATTATTTGTTTTTATCTTAAGTAAATAGGATGCGAAAAGCTTAGCTTTATCACAATTTAAGGTAATAAATGTTCACGAACGTTCATTTGTCCCTTTGAGAGTCAACTCTAAGATAAGTACCACCGTAATCTCGTTATTTAACAAAATTCGTCCATTACAAATTTAAAATGACAGTACTTCCCTTGGAATAATTATTTATATTAAACATAAAAGAATTATTTTTGAAACCTTTGCAACTTGCTCCGTAAGGACAAAATACGTACAACATGGACGAGAGACACAATGTATGCGACAAACAAGAAAAGAGATACACAAATAAAATAAAAAACAAAGACAAAATTATCAGAAACCAAGGATTTTTATTTTCTTTTTCTGCAAAGAATAATAAAGAAAAGTTGGTGGGGGATCTTCCGGCGCAAATTAGCACCGCCCGAAGCTCGTCGTCAACCACGACCCTAGGGTCAACGGATCATTTCGAGCCAGTGTTATTAAACTGATCAAAATCCCAAAGATCCAACGGTCAGGGTCCCACAGCCGGCTGCTGCCAGCCAGCGCACCTTTTATGAAAAATCTTACAGAATCCGCTACCGTGGGCCCCACAACATTAGAGCCAGGGGGACCTCAGCCGGAGGACAACCCACTGTCCATGAGATGGTTGGTTACCATAAACTCTGCCGAGAAATATTCTAACTTTTTTTTTGCCCCTTCAAAATAAAAAATATCAACGAGAATGTTTTCTTTTCTGGTTATTTTTATTTATTTAATTTTTTTTTCTAATTTATTTAATCATTAACTAAAGTCTCAATAACTATTCTTTGATCAAACACTAATGAGTACTTGTACAGCCTTCAATATTGCTGACAGCGAAGGATCATAACGAATATTTATATTCAAATAAAAAAGGAGGGACGCAGCGCGAGGACTTGTGAAGAGCATATAAGTATATAACCTGTCTTCAATGATCTACTTAATTGCTAAAAAAAGAGTAGACGGGGAGATATAGAGTTTTGCGGCATACCATTGATCCAGTTCTTTGGTGGTTGGAAGTGATAGCCGGTCCTGTATTGGTTATCGACGACGATGGAGGGGACCGACGTCGACATGAGTTCATGATACACAACATGAGTTCCGTCGACCATTCCGTTCCTCCAGCAGCACAACAAGAACACTAACAACCATGTAACTCGATTGAAAATCGCCATTTTGAAGAAGAAGAAGAAATAGTTAGAGACGACAGACAAATAGACAGGAGAGAGAGAGAGAGAGAGAGAGAGAGAGAGAGAGAGAGAGAGAGAGAGAGAGAGAGAGAGAGAGAGAGAGAGAGAGAGAGAGTTAAGAGAAGGATGTGATGAAGTAAGAACCTTGAGGGTGTTTAAATAGAGATGGAAAAAGTATAGAGGAAGAAAAGTGATTGGGTATGCATAAGAGAGAGAGAGGTCGTTAATTATAAATATGATTTGGATAATGCGCATTTTTTAACTAAAAAATGCGACGCCATACTACTCTTTTTTCTAGTATATTTTAGATTTCATTATGTTTTGTGGGCTTTAATTACTTTCTTATTGTGGGGGGTCAGTTTTCTTTTTTTCAGATCACATGTGCTTAGGGAATAGAAAATGAGGCATTGATGATGCAAGTGGGGTGGGAGCAGTCAATATCTGCAACAAATCGGGTCAAAGTTGGTAGCCATTGATTTGGAGCCGCTTCTCACGGATTTTTAGTGGTCACAATAAATGTTGATTGCTAATGGATTAAGATTAGGGATATGCAAAACCGCAATTGGTTAGGATGCGATTCGGACATGATACTTATCATATCCGTATTTACTTACCAATTACATACTGATATGGATATAGTTACGAATACGGATATGTCTTGGCAATGACAAATCGTATTCATATATGCTAAAATCATATTCGGAAACGGATATACATGTGAGTACAAAACGAATATGAGAAAAACTATTTAATATATATATATATATATATATTTAAGTTGACAAAAGTTTTTGGCTCTATATATATATATATATATATATCAATATTTCATATATGATATAAGAGAACTCATTAAATATATTCCCTACATATTCGAAAGTAAGATTAGATGACTTGATCAATCAAAATTAATCTCAAGTCCTATTAGTCTAAGGATTAAAGTAATTGCAATCGTATGATCAACATATGATATTTTGAGCAGGATGTGTATATTTCATTACATATCTCTGTATTTCTGTCATATCATATCGGATATGATATTCGTAACCATATCCGTATCCTAAACATATAAGGATACAAATATATCGCGAGATACAATATAATTTTTTGCACCACTAGTTAAGATGTTTTTAAGTTGATCTAATCTACGATCTGGCCGTATACTCAAAACCCAACATTGGAAACACTATGGACATTTTTTTTTACTGAAAATAGGGCATATATATATATATATATATAATATAATATATATATATATATATATATATATATATAATATATAATATATATATAATATATATATAATATATATATATATAATATATATATATATATATATATTATATATATAATATATATATGCA